CCCCCCACGCTTTCCCGACTTCTGAGCGTCCTTCCGGTACTCATGCCCCTGAGCGCCTCCTGAGACGCCTACCTCGGCGAGTTACGTCCAATGGGAGAGATAGCAGCCCCTGCCTCATCGAAGCCAAGCGGCCTCTTGGTTTTGCTTGGTTGCCGCCTCGAATCCACAACAGGATCGGGTCCTTCGGGGGGCTTCTCAACCTTGGTTCAGCACCTTGCCCTATGTTGTGTCAATGGCAATGGCAAGAGCTCGTGTTAAGCAGTGCCTGAAGACGCATAGTTTGACGGGTACAGCAGAGATGCCCTGCCAGCATCAGGAAGAACGAATCATACAGAGAGCCCGCGGAGCACGCGTCAAGCGCATCGTCAAAGTTTATGGGGTGGCTCCAGACTTCCTTAGCGAGGTGCCTCATCGCCTGCGGGTACCTTGCAGCTCTTGGCTCCTCGATGTCGAAAGCCAAACGTACGAAATTCGGGAGACCCACGGCAGCGTTGCCTCTTACTGCTAGCTTGCTACACCCCCACAGCCTATCCTGCCTCAATGGAGACGCGCCGTCGCCTACGAAGAGCGCCCAACCCTGCCTGTAGCGCATGTGAGGCTCGGAACGCAAATGAAGGCATGAGACGATCCATGGCGCTTCGTCCGAACGCATTCTGGCCAGGAACCAGTAACTTAGCAGCATCAGAGCGCGACTATTCTTTTTTCGCGAACCCCGTGCTGAATCCGTCAGAGCTAGGTGGGGATCCCGTTCATTCTTCCTCTGTCCTGTTCCTCTCTCCTCCTTCCTATCTCTTCCTCTACGCGCTATCAGTTTGACTGTTTGTATACGTCTGTATACGTCCTCTCGCTCACCTGCCGCGTTTTCTGGAAAACTGGGCATCACTCTCGTTTATATCGTGGTCCCACATTTGAACCATCAGAACATCTTTCGGCTCGATACCATACTGAGAGCTTTGCAAACTCATCGGAAATTGTGGAGCATCTTTCCGTCGTACGCAAAGGGATTAACAACAATTCACCCGCAGACCGGAGAGAGTAAGCTGCGTGTCAGATTCGTCTCTGTTGGCGACAACCGGATTCCTTCTGGTGTCTTGACGGCTTCTCTTCCATCCGTCGTGAACCACAATTGCGCGGACTCTTGGCTACCCGTCGCCGTTGCTCCCTTCGAAACTGAGTCGTCTTCTGAAGGACGGCTTACTTGCGGCGCCCGTTGCCGTTTTCTTGAAGAACAAGTGCCACCTGCAAGATGGGCTGGTTCGGCAATCTTGGACTGGCGTGGAAGTACACGTATGCATCGTCGACTCACAGAGCTAGCGGGGACATGAGTGCTGACGATGCGGTTCCTTAGCTTGGTGTTCGGTGTTCTACTTCTCGCTACCTTAATAGCCGGGGCTATCAAAGTAATGTTTGACCGCAGAAAGTAAGTGCGAGCCCGGCCAAGCCTGCAGACCACCGCTGACCACTGAGCAGACTCAAGAAGCACATGAAGTTGTCGGAGATTGAGTCTGCGCACGGCGGCAAGGAAGACCAAGTGCAGCTTAACGGCAGAGAAAAAGATGAAGGGGATTTGTTTGGTGTGAGGGCTATCGAAGCCGGCTTCTTTGGCGGCGTGGCACAGTCTCGACCAACCTCCCTCGCTGGCACGCCCAATAGCTCGAGACCCGGCACTCCCTCGATGAGCTCTCATACGCTTGTTGGCAGCTTTGCATCTCCGAAGGTAGTTGCTTCCACGCCGTCTGCCAGCGTGACGAGTCTCCCGCTAGTCCGGACGCATTCTGGTATCAACCTGGACGCTGCGAGCCCGTCCAAATCCCGAAAAGTCCCTCCCACTATCAGCATTAACGGTGGTGGCCTGCAACCTTCCCATGCACAGATCAATGGGCGCATAAACCACAGCAACACTGTCGACATGAACTTGACTGTCCCACCCTCTCCTGTGCACTCGGAAACCCCTAGGTCTACCTCAACATCACCAGACCCGGATTCGCCTCGATCTCTGTCCCCGCATTCGAATCACTCTGTGGACCTACGTACGAAGGCCTCTGATGCCGCTCGCTACATACAGGTATCCCAATCGAGCTCAACGCTAGAGTACTACGGGCAGCCGGTGCATGCAGTTTCCGTCTCGAAGAACCGCATAGCCGGTACCAGGTCGCAAGAAGCATCCTTCGAAAGTGGGCGAGAAAAGTTCCAGAGCAACAGCCGTTCGGCTTCGCCGGGACCCGGGCAATATGAGCTCCCTACGATGCCGCAAAGAGCTGTCCAAAACGTGTACCCGCGGTCATTGTCGCCGAGTCCAGGCAGGGAGCAAGTGCGGGGGGCGCCAGGTGGGTACTGAAATTTGCTTGGTGCCGAATGTAATTTAATGCCTTAGCTAGTCAGGTAGATGTGGTATCTAACACGGCCTCTAAAAGTTGCCCCTTCTTCCACACGCAGTTCTTCTTCCATAGGACCACCCACACAACAAGCCTCACAAATCTCACACGCCCGTGATCTCAGCACCTCGAGCAGCACGTATAGCGCAGCCAAGACGGGCCGTCCCAGGGAGTCGCACGAGTCCGCCGCGTCCTTCAACTTCTTTACGACTGCGCCAGACGCCAGTTCTAAGAGCGCGACAAACCCACCCTCTCAATCATCGAGGAATGGCAGCCGGAGGCCTAGCGATGCTAGCAGCTCCGTAGGGCCTTCCGTGGCCGGGCGCACCAGCAACGACCGCTTCAGCGACTTCTTCGACGCCTATTACCGCAACTCGCACATCGCGGTGGCATCAAAAGCAGAAGCTCCCAAGCGGCCGCCGCAGCTGAGCGTCATCAGGCAGTCGACGCTTGAGGAAGTGCCGTCGCCTGAGCCTTCTCCGCTGCCTGATGCTATTGATTCTAGCAGGTTTTTGTTGGCGAGGAGCTGAAATTTTTCATCTTGGGCGGCTGGTTCGGGTTCCTGTTGTTTGTGCTCTTGGCAGGCATCGGATGTTTTGACGTTGAGATGGTTGAATGCTTGGGAGGCTTGATAGGATTTTTGAAGCGATTCTATTCTGACGAATTCGCCATTGCCATACACTTTGTAATGCCAAGGGGAATAAACCTCTCCAAGCACCTAGTCTTTCACATCTACCAGCCAACGTCTGCAATTTCACAGCCATGATCTCTAACATGGGCTCATACCACGCGCACGTAGTGTTTACGACAGTACACGGTTACCTGCTTTACATCTTGAAACAAGATCCAAAGCCACTGCGGAGGTGGCGTACGGCTCTGACTTTTAGCTGCCACCCGAGACGTCGTGGCGCAAGAGGCGTGTGGTTTGCAGATGCTCGATGGTTCCTGCATGAACCGAAGCTACCACACACGTCGGGCAGGGAAGAACTTACACTGCAAAATCACTCCTCGCACTATAAAATCACCCCTCACCACCTTCTTCACCACCATTAAAGCAGTCTCTTATAAGCTGTTAAGGTTCAAAATGCTCTAAGATACTCCCTATACCCTATCGCACGTTTAGGCACTTTTTTAGAATCATGCCATACCAACAAATAGTGATTATATACTAAAGTTGATGTTTGCAGTGAAAGTTCTTCCCTGCCCGACGTGCCACAGACAGGTGCCGAGCACGTGCACTCCACGAACCTCCATATCGCGGCCAAAAGTGTCTGCGCGGGCTCTGCAATGGCTTCGTAGAATATGATGCACCGTAGTGCGCCTGCGCTCCGAGCCCATAGGGATGGCTGTGACAGCTTTAAAGACAAGGCTCGCAAGTTGAGTTATCAACTGTAGTGCTGCAGCTTGTCGACGTGGGCCAAGCATGTGAATTTAGCCTCACCGCCTTGGCCCTGGCCCTGAGCGCGATGAACCCAACGAAGACTCGCCTTCATCATCACCACCACCAAGATTAATTCACCCCCCCCACGATATCACCGTTCCTCGCACCGCATCTCACCGACCTCATTCCTTCATTTAGCTGCTTGGCGACTACGAACTCCCATAACCCTGTTGGACCTGAGTTCTACCGGTTACGCTCAGAAGTTCCCTGCCCCATTAGAGAGAATCAATATGCCGATGATGCTCGACGACGACAGACCGGCGTACGACGAGAAGGAAGAGCGCCGCAGAGTCCACCATGATGCAGACATAGTAATAGTAGGCGCGGGGATAATCGGCTGTGCGGCAGCGGTAGCATTCGGCCAGCAGGGGCGAAGCGTTGTATTACTGGAGCGAAGCCTGAAGGAGCCGGACAGGATAGTAGGAGAGTTGCTCCAACCGGGGGGTGTGCGCGCGCTAGAAAGGCTGGGGATAAGAGACTGTCTAGAGGGTATTGATGCGATCAGGGTAGAGGGGTACGAGGTGATATACTACGGCGAGGAGGTCAGGATACCGTATCCCGAGAACGCGGATGGAGTGGAGGATGAAAGGAAAAGGCCGGAGGGGAGGTCCTTCCATCATGGTCGCTTCATCCAGAAGTTGAGAGCCGCTGCGATGCGGACGCCGAATGTCACGGTTGTGGAGAGCACTGTGACGGACACCATCAAGAACGGGTGGACAGGACAGATACTGGGCGTCGAGTGTACGACCCAGGGCGAGAAAGACTATGTAAGCCTGAGTGTACCATCTCGTAGGTATGGACTACCCGCTTACGGGATTTTTGCAGTATTTCGGTGCCCTTACCATCATATGTGATGGCTATGCCTCCAAGTTCCGCAAAGTCCACATCCCACACACGCCCATCGTCCGCTCAAAATTCTTCGGTCTTGAGCTCATAGACGCCGATCTACCCATGCCGAATCACGGTCACGTTATCCTCGGTGACGGTCCACCAGTCCTGCTTTACCAGATCGGCACACATGACACGCGCGCTCTGATCGATGTGCCCGAAGGCCTACCATCAGCTTCAGTTGCTAACGGCGGTGTGAAAGGCCATCTCAAGAACGTGGTCCTTCCTAGCTTACCGAAGTGCGTACAGCCCTCTTTCAAGGAAGCGCTAGAGAGTGGCTCGCTGCGCTCGATGCCGAACTCCTTCCTACCGCCCTCCACGAATCGAACGCCTGGCATGATTATGATCGGAGACGCGATGAACATGCGACATCCACTCACTGGCGGTGGTATGACTGTCGCCTTCAATGATGTGGTGCTACTGTCCGAGCTGCTAAGTCCGGAACGGATACCTAATCTCGAGGACACAAAGGCCATACTCGAAGCCATGCGAAAGTTTCACTGGCAGCGGAAGAAGGGGGCGGCTGTCATAAACATCCTGGCTATGGCGCTATATACCCTCTTCGCTGCTGACGGTGAGTCCCTGCGCTCTCCCAACACCTCCTCCGCACCGTTGCTGACTGACCCATCTCAGATGTGAACCTCCGCGCCCTCCAACTCGGCTGCTTCCGCTACTTCCAGCTTGGCGGCAATTGCATCGATGGCCCTGTCGGCCTGCTGGCAGGCATCATCCGCCAACCCTTCGTCCTCTTCTCCCACTTCTTCGCCGTCGCGCTTTATGCAATCTGGATACGGATATCTCTTGCTTGGAAGAGAAGTCCGCTTTCGGTGCCGCTGGTTATGCTGACCAGTTTGGGCGTCTTCTGGAAGGCTTGTGTGGTAATCTTCCCGTATATTTGGAGTGAGCTGAGAAGTTAGGGCATTATAGAACTTGAGACGGGTTGATAGGGGCGTTGGGTAAGGGAAACCGGGGTTGCACGCTGTAGCGGTTTGTTGTACATATGTAGTTCGTCCATGCCGACTGCTACTCCTGTCTTGGAGATATACTCACCTTTCCTCACAACAGCCTTGGAGTTCACCATCACTCCATAAGTGGGACGCTGCGTGGTTCTATGATCACTACCAGCACCTGTGAAAAGTGTGACAATTATCAGTGGACGCTGGACTGGACACTTGTACGTTTGTTTCGCTTTATCTGTCTGGCTTACAACAGCCAGTTCTCTGCATGAACGTACAATGCGTTGACGTGGTGAAAGACAGCGGCTTATCTGGTATGGCTCTTCGCACACATATACAGCATTAAGGGCCGCCTGCAACCTCTCTAGTAGAACTGTGTTCTTCCACCCTCTTAATTGCAGTCTTATAGCCCAGCCCGTCCACCTTGTTCGTCATCATCAACACTTTCCTTAAACGGTTTTCTCTTGCTTGGTGACTTTGCACCAGGTGGCGGTGACAAACCAAGCCCTCTCCTTCCACCTCGTGTGCCTGTCCTAGGACTAGCCGGACCTGAACGGCCACCTCCAGGGGCCGGAATATCAGCTCCAGGCCCGAACGCCCCTCCACCACCCCAGCCTTTGAAACCCCCGGCCTCGCTTCCGAACCTCGGGCCAGGTCCTGGATCAAGGGGACCACCTATCTCAGCATCATCGTCGTGCCGCGGCTGGTACGTGAAGGTGACGGGGTCGCCGTTGAAGTCTTTCAGCATGCCGGCACCTCCTTGGTTGAACGTGTCCCAGTCCGGCTCCTTCGCACTGCGTCCGAATCGAGCTGCTCCTGCTGCTGCTCGTTGAGGCGGTGGTCTATTCAAACCTCCTCCACGCAGCGCCATGGCTCCGCCTCTGCCGCCTCTGCCGAAGCGAGTTGGACGTGGCATCGGGCCGGCGCCTAGAGCTGGTGGCAGGCCTTGAGCAAACTCTCCTACCTCATCGTCCTCTTCCTCATCCCAAGGAGAAGGCCCGGCAGCCCAGCCTGCGTCACCACCACCACCACCAAAACCTCCTTTGATGCCGCGGCGGGGGTAGGGAGAGCGAATTGGAGGATCTGCAAGTCGCTGCTGTCTCAGGTAATCCTCCATCATCTGTTGCCGCATGTTCATGTCCTGGTTTGTGCGCTCCATCTTCTTCAGCAGCTCCTCAGTTGCAGAGCGAGCTTTCTTCTTCTTCTTATCCTTGCCCGTCTTTTCCCGACCATCGTCCGATTCCTCGTCCTCTATCTTCATGAGACCTTCAAACTCCTCGCCATTCATCGTGCCCATGAACTTGGTGCCCGGTTTCTTGCAGATGCAGCCTTTGCTGCACTTGCGGCACGCGAAGCCGTGCTCGGCGCAGTCATTCTTCCTCTGTCTTGCCTCTTCCTGCCTCCAGTCGCCGTCATAGCGGCCTCGTGGACTCTCATAACCGCCTGCGCCTCCTCTAGAACGACCTCGACGCCATCCGTCTTCCCTGGGACTCTCATAACCGTGAGGACTTCCATGCCTCCACTCTCCACCATGACGGCTGTCATACCCACCACCACCACCTCCTCCTCCTCCTCCTCCTGGGCCACCACCGCCCCTTAATCCCAGGCTGCCCCCACCATACCCACCTCCTTCCCCACAATCAGCGCACCCACAAGGCGGTCCTCCTCCACCCCTCCTACCATACTCACCGGGCGGTATGTATCGCTCCCTCTTCCACCGCTCGTAGTAATCTTCTCCTCTTCGAGGAGGCGGGCCATCACACATGGCACCGCAAGTCGGTATGAGCTGGTCCTTTGGGACGAGAGCGGACCAGTTTTCGCCGACGGGAATGAGGCACGCGTCGCGGCCAGAGATGGAGGGCGGTTGGGTTGAGAGGGGGATGCCCATTCTGGCGGTTGCTTGGAACGGCGTATAAGGTTTATATGGAGTTCAAAGCGGATGGTATGGATCAGATACTCCTATGACTTGAGACTGTGAAAGTTGTGAACTTGTGACGACTGGTGACGCAGAAATGAAGAAGAGGATAGTGTCGAGGACAGAAAGGAGGCTGAGGACATGTTTGACGAGCTTAATGTCGTAGTGATTTCGAGCTCCGGTCACAAGCGCTCAGATGCATGGCTGTGTCACCATGTTTGCCTCGGTCCGTGGCGGTGAGCATGTCCAGTTGTTTGTTTGCTGCCAGATAGTATGCAGCCCAACGTGACCTCACCTCTCCTCTTTAGTATCATAAAGCCGTACCAACAACTCGGGCGGCGCGAGCGAGTCCACTAGTAGCACGGCTTCAGCGGTCGCGGGGAATTCGTGGCTCGAAAGTGAACATTTTTGTCTGCTATTCGTTCGTTGCTCATTACACAGCATACACCGCCATAACCCCGTATCCAGACTTCCATGGCCCATGTACAGCGACAGAAGAGCGCACAACGTAGGAACAAAAGAAAGGTAAGTAGCAACAGAAAGTGTCGCTAGCCAAGAAAAACGGTCGTGGCGGCAGAGACCCGATCATCCAACCACCAGAAATGTGCCAACAAGAAAAGATCAGAACACCATAGACCTGACCTGCTCCCTTCTCATCCCCGTCTGCCTCTGACTCGAATGCCTCGGGCTTTTCTCCATAGGTGGCGGCGGCGGCGCATCCCTCGGCGGCTTGCTCGGGCTCGTCGGCGCAGTCCTGCTGCCAGTTCTGCCCATCGAGGGCCGTCCACCCGCACCCTCCTTCTGCATATGCGTTCCAAGCAGAGCCTTCTCCCTCTTTTCCTTCTCCAGAACGAGATCCGTCCATCCGCCGCTCGCTTTCCTGGCCTCCTTGCCCACCGTCTCGGAAAGTACCTTCATCCAACCTTCCTTGTCAGCGGCATTGTCGGCGTAGAAGTCTATGCATTCGCCGTTGGCGAAACGGATGCGGAAGCCTTCTTCGACGAACATGTAGCCTTCTTCTTCCTCGGCGAAGGCGCTCTTCCTGCGGCCCCCGTTCTTGGTCGAGGCGGATTGCGTCAGCGAGGAACGGTCGTCGATGAGCTTGACGGCTTTGGCGAGGTTGATGGTTGCGCGTGGTTGGCGGGTGCTTTCATGGAAGGCGGTTAGCTTTCCACCTGTTAGTCGGAAGAAGCGGCGGCGCCAGTACTGTTGTTCTCTCGTCAGCGTTTGGTTCGTGGTTGCATAAGGTTTACACCATGTAGGATATGGTGCAGCCTTACCGGACAATCGCCTCCCTGCTGACTCAAGTGACCTTCCCATGTTCGAGCCTTCTGCTCCTCCGCCTCACGAAGCTCGCGCACGCATGCGTTCAAACTCTTTGGCATATCCTCATCCTTCGCGCCCTTAGGCTTGGGCACGTACAGCAGCTGCAGAGTCAGCTTCCCAACGCGGTACGGCGGCTTGCGGACAACACCGCCACGCTTGCTCTTTACGCTATTCACGATAGAATCCTCGACAGCCCACTCGTTGAAGCAGGGGACATCGACCGTGAAAGGTCGGCCAAATGCCTGGTTCTCGTGATTCTTGAGGCAAATATATGCCCGAGCGAACGAACCGTCAGGAGCTACAAGGTCATGCAGGAGATCCCAGGCGGTAGGCTGGACGCTGGCGCGCTTCACTCGCAGTTCTTCCTGCCGCCGCTGCTCGGCCCGGTCGAGCTCTTCTTGCTGCTTGCGCTCGGTCTCCTTACGCTTCTTAGGAGATGAGAGCAGCCGGCTGAAGGCTGACTGTTTCTTGGGGCTTGCGACCTTCGCAGGAGGTGCTGGCATTGGTTCTACCGTCTTTGGAGGTTCTTGAAGCTTGGTTTGAAGGGTGAGCTGGAATTCCAGATCATTGAGGACGACAAGCTCGAATTCTTGTCCGATGGGAGCACTACGGCCAAGCTCGAGCCAGGATGTAGTTACGCAGTGGAGACCGTTGTCAAGGGTGAGCTGGAACCAGGTTCTCTCGGCTACGTCAGGTTAGCATAAGTATGGTGTCGTGTAACGGACCGGTAGACCTACTCTTCGGCAAGGGAAGGTCAAGATCCTTAACACCGACCACTTTGACGAACAATCTCCCTCGTTCGGCGCCTTCATCTTCATCCGGAGTGGTGACCATTCCGTCCTCCGCGACGGTTCCAAGCCCATTGACGTTGCTCTCCTGACCAGGCAAAGGTGGTACTGGGCCGGAAGTTGACTTGCGAGACGTCGAAACCGAGTTCTGTCGAACGCTCTTTCGGCGCGGCTTGCCATTCCAGGGCTCAGTAGTCCACGACTTGGTGCGCTCATGACTTGCCTTGCGAGGGCTGCTGCCGGCCGATCGGGTGCCGCGAAGATCGGGCACCATTGTCTCGCCAGTAGGTGACATTGGTGGGTTCTCATTGCTGAATTGACGGCTGCTTGCTACGACGACCTTGGTATTTTGGCGCATCAGATAGCCTTTCTGTTTCGGTATATAGTTGTTAGTAAACAACTCCTGCTGATGCGTGAATCGCTGGCCGCAAATGTGCTCTGCGCCTGATTGTGTTGCTGCTGGGAACCTCGCGTAAGCAGGAAGAGGAAATATTTCTACCTTTTGTGACTCAATCACGCGTTCGAATTCTCTGTCGAGACCCAAGCCAATATCCTCACCGATACCGGTGTTAGGAATGTCTAACATCATGAAACTTTCGTGTCGCTTCGGCTCCGATTCTGCCTGCAGCTCACTATCGAGCCCGGCGTCTTCCGAGCTGAGGCTCTCAGCTTCTGGTTCTACACTCATCGAAGGTCGCCGAGCGTTACGTTGAGGGATAGGCGGAGGATGCTCGCCGCTGACTTGGCGTCGAGAGGCTGCCATTGCAGCCATGTCCGCTGGAGTAGCCGACGGACGAGTCTTCAGCTTCCCGCCTGGCGCTCTGATGGTTGCTACAGCCTCCGGTATGCTGGGTGAATCGCGCTGTGGCGACTCGACGACTAAGTGGTGAATGACGGAGTCAGGGGTGTCGCATCGCTCGTCCTCCGGGTTGAAACTTTGACCGAGTACGACCGGAAGGGGAAGGTCTTCGAGAGGAGTGATAGGCTGTTCTAAGAAGCTGTGCACGGCGTCTAACTTCGGCGCAGACTCCAACGATGCGGTTGTGGCGGCCTCTGTATCTGGAGCGCTCATGTATGGCTGTAGTTGAAGATTGAAATCATCGTTGTTAAGAAACAGTCCAAACTCAGGCAAGCTCATGTGCTTATGGTCGAACTTATCGAACTTCTCGGTGCGAGTGTCGTCAGACTTGGGCGTTAAGAAGTCCTCAGCTTTCGGGGTAGGCGGACCTTCATCTTCAGTGGTGCTGTTCGACTGCGCCTGCCGCTCCGGTTCTGACTGGGGCGAGTACCGGCTTGTGACGCTACCCTCTCCATCGTCGATTTCCTTGTTTACAACATGGTGTATAACAGAGGACTCTCTAGGGTAATCGTCCATGCGCGACGGTGAGCGCTGTGGTTGATACAGTTCTGGAACTGAGTAGATGTCGATCTCGTTACCGCTTTCGCCTTCCTCCTTGATTGGTATATCTGGCACGACTTCATCAAAATTTGACGATGCTTCGCGAGAGGGTATCGGTACATCTGGATCGAGATCGCCGTAGCTCTGTTCTGGCTCTGGTTCTGGGCTTGAGCGTGCCGAGTGGAAGTCAAAGTCGATATCGTCGAAATTTCGGCTCTTTACCTTCCGCAAGATAGATTCTCTCGAAATGCGGGGGATCTTGATCTCTTGGAGCATGGAGTCGTCAACTTCGGCCACAGAATGTTCAGCTTCCGGCTCATCCGTTACGTCAGCAACCCCAGTCGCCGGTAGAGGTGCGGTATGCTCTTCTTCTGCAGAATGCTGAGGCAGATCCTGGAGGCCCATCAATCTCAGACGATCTTCCAGGGACATAGATGCGTCGCGCATTCCCAAAATCTCAGCTTTGGAGGTGGCCGCAGCGCGCGGCGGCGAGGGTAAAGATCGCTGAGCACTGCTAACTCGTTCCGCAGCTGCGGAGAGCCCAGCGCTAGACTCACGACGCCCACGTGTATCGGAATTGCCTGGCAACGGTGGTAGAGGACGCGAGGAACCATCAGAGTTGGTAGAGTTTGACCGATACATATCAGGGCGTTTCTGATTTGGGGTCGCCGTAGGCATTGGGCTGCTTTCTCGGCCATCGAACGGGTCCTCGAAAGTATCAGCCAAAGAGGTGTTCGCATTGTCAGGGCTCATGTGTCGCCAGTCCTCCGGTAGGACAACTGGTGTCTTGTCTGTGTCCTCCAAAGAAGCATCAAAGCTGTCATCTCTGTCCATTGATGACCCTCGCCCGAAGCTCTCATCCTCGTCTGTATATTCAGAGTCGTAGCTGCCTTCGCGTGAGCCAGAGGCAACGGAGGACGGATCCGGGGTGACCATCTCGTACTCGTTGATCTGGGGAGGTGCAGCATCGAAGGTAACACTCTTCGCATGTCGACGTAGAGGGCGTGGTGTCGATGCCTTGAACTCTGAATCATCTTCAGACCAGATGCCGGATTCTGGTTCGAAGTGATTGAATCGGCCGTTGGTGGAGAGGGAAGACTTAGTGGGAGATCCTAGCGGGTTTGCCGAAGGGCTAGTAGCTGATGCTTGCTCTATTGCCTTCGCCTCTGTCTTGCTAGGGCTAAAAGATGCCATCTTGCTTTGGCTCTCCCCTCGTCGGTGGCCTCCGAAAGGTTTTGCAGGGCTGCGGAGTGCGTCAACGCCCCGTCCCCCAAATGCGCTGCCCTGTACTTGGGTACTGAGGGGCCGTCCTGCGGCAAGCGGCCTTTCAATCACCTGGACGGAAGTCGGGTCGTATTCGTTCTTTTGTTCTCGCGCAAACATTGCGCTATTCTTGACACGTGACGCCTTCTTCAAGTTCTCAATGGAAGACCGCCTGTGCGGGGAAGGCGAAAATTCACGGTCAAAAGAGTTCTCAGAATCGAACCGGCTGGGCGAGTTGGGATCTCGACCCTGCCAGAACAGTCGCGGTGACTTGTTGAAAGGAGAAGTGTCGAATGGGGATGAGTCTCGGTTCAGGACCATGTTCTGGAAATCATGTTAGCGGCAGCCCTAGACATGCTCGGAATGCGTTTCGTGAGCGGTTACCCTGGTCGCCTGGCTGTAGCTAGGAGAGTTCCTTCTCCGTTCGGTCGAGGTGATCTCGGATAACGGCCGTTGCGCGCTGCTGCCGTTTGACTTTACGGGCGATGAAGCTGGTGTTGATTTGTTTATGCGCAGCGGCTGCACCTGCGAGCACAATATCCCTCAGTATTCTACGGGTGCGCGCACCATCAGAGCACTATGCGCAGACATACCGATTCCGAGGACATCATGTCCGTTTAACAATGGCAATTGTAAGCCAACGTGGCAAGACGGAGCGAGACGCAAGGAATGTGTAGGCAAGAATGCGGCGGGACTCCTTCAAGGAGCGGCGGGGGAAAGCGAGGGCAGATGCGCGTTACAGATGTCTGTTTGCGCGAAGGTACGAAGCGTATGCCAGCAGCGCTCAGAAGGAAAGATGGGTGTGTGTGTGTGAGATAGTGTGTCGCAGCGAGGCATTGGTGGAGAGGGGATGTATTTCTGCAGTGCTTCGAAACACGCTCGAGGCCATCGCCAAGTAAAAGAACGGGCGCTAACGTTGCGAGGAGCAACGACGCCGGGACAGAAAAGACGAAAGACGAAAGACGAAAAGTGCCATGCCACGCATCATTCAACGAGCATTACGCTCGTGCCATCTCCCACCACCGCTCTATCCGTCTATCCGTCTATCTGTCTATTCCAGACATCCTGTGAGAACACGGGGAACCAGGCATCAATTTGCCTGTCGTGGTATGTTGAAAACCTCTTGGGTCGATGGATTTTGTGAGGCAAGACTGTAGTTTTGGGGTCCATCGTTAATGGTCCCCGCGTCGCCGCAAATCCACTAGCCACATGTCCCGCTCATCCTTGCCAGAACTCCTAACTTTCTGGATACCGTACCTACCGTAGTACCTTGGGTAGGAAAAAGTCCACCCACCGTCGCAACAGCTATACACCCCCAGCTTAGTCACCATCGAGTCAAGGCATCTACCTGAAGAGACATCAAACCAGAGGACCCCATCCGTGCCCATCCTCCTCAACGCCATCATAACCGTCTTACCAGATCATGATCCGCGCCTCCGCCGTTTGTCCTTTCTGCGAAATCAGGTCTACACTATCGGTACCGTTTCGCGGAACACGTCTTTCGTCACCATGGCAGCAGTCGCGAGGAATGGCCCAGCTGCAGAAGCGAAAGCCTGCCCGGATGGAGTTGTCACCGCGCGTTGCCCAAGCTCCACCCAGAACCACCCCAAGCGGCGGCCCCGTCAAGAGGAGGACTGCTAGTCCTTTTGGAGCCATGAATCGGACCAAGGTGCCAGCGCGTTTGGAGCCGAACAAGGGGTCAGAAGCAGAAGCGCGACGGTCTCCACGTGGAAAGGACAAGACGAAGCCGAAAGAGAAGCGAGAAGGATTCCACGCATTGAAGATGCAGCGGGCGCTGGCCCCCATAGGATATGGTCACAGAAGTGCGGTCAAGAGCAAGATACAACACCTGGACAGCTTCGAGCAGTTTCCACTGCTAGACCTTGTGAAGGAGTCGATCGCCTCTCAGGCATTCCCTGGGTTGGAGGACGTTGCGCCCACACCTGTTCAAAGGCTGGCTTTGCCCGCATTGCTCGGAGCTGACCATAAGGATGGCCGTGCAAAGTCTCCACCTGTTTCTTCACAAATGGAACAGTTCTTGCTGGCTGCAGAGACCGGATCGGGAAAGACCTTGGCCTATCTCCTACCGGTCATTGATGCGATAAAGCGAGCCGAGATGATGGAAGCCAACGCAGAGGCACAAGAGAAAGCTCAGAAGAAGGCCACTGAGGAATTGCGTAAGAACGAGAGTGACATATTCGGGCTGGAGCCGCCGCCAATGATCGGGCCGCATCCTACAGCTGGGCGACCACGCGCCATCATTCTTGTGCCGACTGCAGAACTGGTAGACCAGGTTGCCTCGCTTGCTAAAGCCTTCTCTCACACTGTGAAATACCGGGCCGCGCCCATCTCAGCCGCATACACTGGAAAGGTCATCCGCAATCGGCTCTTCTCTCCGGGTGGCATCGACATGCTCGTCAGCACGCCCCACCTCCTCGCCAGCATTGCCGAGAGCGAACCCAACGTTCTCAGTCGAGTATCACACCTCGTCATCGACGAAGCCGACTCTCTACTTGACCGCTCGTTCTCGCCTCTAACCTCTGCTATCATCGACAAATCCACACCTTCGCTGCGCCAGCTCATCATGTGCTCTGCCACCATCCCACGGAGCCTGGACTCCTACCTCCGGAAGCGCTTCCCAGATATCAAGAGGCTCGTAACCCCTAACCTTCACGCCATCCCTCGCCGGGTACAGCTCGGGGTTGTGGAAGTAGAGAAAGACCCCTACCGCGGTAACAAGGACCTCGCATGTGCGGAAACCATCTGGACTATTGGCAAGTCAGCGGAAGAGCATGGGGGATCCGAAGACGGCTCCGCTAAAGAGAAGGCCGACACGAAGCACATCATCGTCTTCGTCAACGAGCGCGAAAAGGCGGCCGAAGTGGCCCAGTACCTTGCCTCCAAGGGCATCGACGCCGAAGCACTGAGCAGGGACACGGCTTCGCTCCGACAATCACCAACGCTCGCGGCCTTCACGGGTACCGCGCACGAAAGCAACGCCGCGAGCTCTGCGACGTCGGCTACAATTGTGGCGGACCGCACCCTTCGTGGAGCGCCTCCGAGGCGAACGCTACCAAACACAAAGGTGCTTGTCACTACGGATCTGGGATCAAGAGGTATTGACACGCTTGCCGTAAGGCATGTTATACTGTACGATGTTCCGCACACCACTATTGACTTTATCCACCGGCTCGGCCGCACGGGACGTATGGGCAGGAGGGGAAGGGGTATCGTTCTTGTTGGGAAGAACGATAGAAAAGACATTGTAAAGGAAGTAAGAGAGGGCATGTTCAAGGGGCAGGCGCTGATATAGGTGGTTGAACTGTGCTCTGCTGTATAACGCCAAAGCCGTGTGGCTTCTTGTACAACATGTACAACTGTAATGTAGAACACCAAGATGAGCCCAGATGATCTGCCACTGAAACGGATCAATTGTAAGAAAGAGCTACATACGTTTTTGACTGCCCGGGGCTTGGGCGACTTGACAGTGAGCTTAGAACGGGGTAGGAGATTATGTAGATCAAACAACCGCTCTGTTATCGATCTAGGCGTAACTCTTGGACAGTATGCTCACACTCTCGGACTTTGTCTCTATTCAAAGGTCAACCACGATGGCTTAATGACTTCCATCACCAAGCATGACATGAAGATTTGCAGTACAACCCCGGAGGATTGTCGGAAGTGATCGCGTCGGCCCTGTGCCTGTCGGGTAGGGGCCGTGGACGCCGGCTAGGCGGGTCATCGCGCGCGATTCCAAACCCGCGGATGCCCCAGAGCTCACCAGCACCCGCAACCACCCCCCGCATTACATTACGCCAGTCCGCAGCTCCATACTGCAACCTACCATGGCCGACACGCTCCAGATCATGCGGGGCCTTGGTGCTACCGAGGTCTCCACCGATTTAAGCAGCCAGACATACCCTCTAACAACTTCGACTGAGACGTCTCAAAGGCTATACGGCAATCGCAACGAGATAGACACCACTGGATACAGTTGTAGACTCCGCAGCAGCCATGACCGCCCTCCAACGACAGCTAGACTCAGGCGCCGTGCCTAACCACATATCCAATGTCTGTCCCGAAGGCACCAAGATGTATCTCCTCGAAGTCGGCTGGCTTGAGTGCGATGAAGGCTTCGTGACTCGAGGCGGCAACACGAGCTTGAAGAGCACCGAGGACAAGACTTTCGTCAACAAGCGTCGCGAGCTGCCCATGTACTGCGTGTTGATCGACCACCCTCACGAAGGAGTCATCTTATGGGAGACTGGCTGCGGGAAAGACTATCCGGAGGTATGGGGAGCTCAGGTCGCGGACGTCTTTGCACGTGTGCGATACGAGCCCAAGCACGAGCTTAAGGCGGCTGTTGAAGCTACGGGCCACAAGCTTGAAGATGTGAAGAAGATGTATGTGTGTTATTTGGCCCCAAAAACCAACACGGTGCTGACAGAGCGTCATCCAGTATTCTTGGCCACATGCACTTGGACCATGCCGGTGGGCTTGACATGTTTCTAGACCGGAAAGACGTCGAGATCTGGGTACACGACAAGGAACTCCGCTCGGCGTTCTGGTCCGTTGCGACTGGCGCAGATGTGGGGGTATACTTGGAACACTATATGAAGCTGAGCCTGTGCGCGCCCTAAAGCCGGCATGGGTATAAAGACGTATCTGACGTGCCGAGCAGAAACTGGAAAACATTCGATGAGCGGACAATGGACTTCTGCCAGGGCATCACCCTGCATCATCTTCCAGGACACACAGACGGTGCGACCCGTATGCTCCTCGCTCGGCCATGGACGTCATCGCTGACATAGACTCAGGGCTCGTCGGCATGCAAATCAACCTGCGCGACAGTGGCACCTACCTCTTCATCAGCGACCACTGCCACGTGATTGAGAATGTGAGCGCACTAGCTTTCCTTGCGGAGGTTTGGAAATACTGGCTAACAGATGGTATCTGACAGTGGCGCGACGGTGTGCCTCAAGGTTGGCTTGCCAGAGATCATCCGGCATGGTTCCAGAGTACTCAGCGACTCAAGCGCCTGGAAAAGACGACACGGGGACGCGTGATACCTGGACACGACAAGGAGACTTTCCTTCAGCTGCAGAGCGAGGGCACGGGTTCTGAATGCATGTTCACCTAACGGTCGACACTTTGTACATAGTAGAACTGCTCCACTGGCTCTCAGCAGGCACCTTAGCTTCGTTCGCACTCCAACACAAATCTGAGTGCATAGTATAAGCCAGTTGAGCGCAACCATGATGGACTGCGCGGGCCAGCGAGAAGCCGTGAAGCCGTGAAGCCGAGGGGAATGCTGAGAGTGCAGTATGTAACCAACAGGCACGTGACGTACTTTTGGCGCTGGTCTGCCGCGCGCACCATTGCTCGCGTGTAAGTTAGTGTGTATCTTTGCAGCTTCCATGCGCAGAAGCCATCGCGGAGTAATGCCATTGCTAATTGTGTCGTCGACCGTCCGCAGTGATGACTGACTACAACAGCCTCACCGTCGCGAACCTTCGGACCTTGCTGAAAGACCGCGGCATTGCCTCGACCGGCCTCACGCGCAAACGGCAGATCATTGACAAGCTCGAAGAGGCTGATAGCAAGGGCGATGGCAACAGCAACGGCGTCAGCAATGCGGCACCGGTCTTGGAGCCAGCAGTGGATGAGGAAGATGGGCCGCAGGCGGACGGTGCTCTGCCCACGGACGAGCACAATACCCAGCAAGTAGCAGAGGACACGGTAGTTTCGCAAATATCCGGCAGCGAACAGACCCTAGAAGCCCAGGATGCAGACTCCGCGATCCACGCAGCCATTCAGCCACCCGAAAGAGCGGTCCCAGGGACCGTTACGAACGAGGGACTGGAAGAACGGGCTGCGTCCCCAGCTTCAAGCGCTACGATGCCTCCAGAAAAGCCACCGCAGCCTGAACAAGCTGAAGTGCCGCCCACAGTCGCGCAGCCCTCGACATCCCAGACGCCTATACCGTCGCACGAGAAGCCAGCGCCGGCGGATGATGTGTCCCTCCCAGCGGCAACCCGAGAGTCCACAATGCAAGAGCCCTCGAGGATGAACACAGAGGAGTTGAGGGAGGATAGCCGCAAGCGAAAGAGGCGTAGTGCTACTCCGCCACTTGATGCCGAAGAAGCTAGCAAGAAGCTGAAATTGGGTGGTTCGACGCGGTTCCCCGAACACGTAGCGGTGCGGACGCCGGTCGATACTTCGAATAATGCAGGAGCAGACATTGTCATGGCTGAGCCTGCAGTGGAGGCCTCTGAAGTTACACCCAGCACAGCAGCAGACGATTTTGCCTTCAATGACAGTCATATGGAGGGCGGTGCAAGTGCAGCGCTCTTGGAGGTGCCGGTAGGCAGAGAGGATATACCAGCTACCGGATCAGATACTCTACTGCAACCAGAACAACCGCCAGAGGAAGAGCACGAAGCTGTGCCGGATGTTGCAAGCGCAGAAAACAAGCAGGACGAGCAGGAGCGACGGGAGCAAGAGAAGCCAGAACCTGAAGCCGAAGAGGAGGCAGCTCCGGAACCGCCCAGCCAAGTTGGACGTCCGCCATCGCCGAAACATCGATCACTCTCTCCAGCACACAAACGTGGGCTACCTAGTAAACCCTCCCGCTACGCCAATCTCCTGAATCGGCCTGCGTCCCCTACTCGTGCTACACGTGTTTCACCCGAAGCTGAGGCCGACCGCCTAATACCCCCGGCCATGCACCCTGCAACAGCCGTCCTCTACATCCGCGACTTCATGCGCCCTCTGCAGCCCGCCGGCCTCCGCTCCCACCTTATACAGCTGGCCTCTCCGCCATCCTCATCTCCCGACCCTTCAGTGCTGGAGTCCTTCTTCCTAGACTCGATCAAAACCCACTGCTTCTGCCGCTTCTCCTCCATCACCGCCGCCGCCAGAGTCCGCGCCGCTCTACACGGCGCCGTCTGGCCACCCGAACGGACGCGGAAACCGCTCTTCGTGGACTTCATCCCGGAAGAGAAGCTGGAGGAATGGATCAGGATCGAAGAGGACGATGCTGCGGCCTCGCGGGGCGGCAGAGGCGGAAAGCGGTGGGAAGTCGCATATGTGGACAGCCCTGACGGCATCAGGGCGTCGTTTCAGGAAGCCGGTACTGGTGTTCCCGCAAGGAGACCTTCCGGGCTGGTGATGAACACTGGCTTAGGAACAAATCCAGCACCCCCCGCACCTTCGCGCCTCGGAGACAGACGCCCGTCCTCGCCTGCCCGTCGGCCTGACAGTCCCAGGCGAAGACCAACCACAGCTATCGCTCCGCAAAGAAAAGATACGGGCCAGTCTTTCCTAGCGCTAGACGCGCTTTTCAAGAGCACAACTGCGAAGCCGAAGCTGTACTTCCTTCCGGTGAAGAAAGAGTTGTCCGAGAAGCGGCTGGATGAGCTGGAGAAATGCACCAGTCGGGATTGGGACAAGAAGAGCAAGCTTGGTGAAGAGTTGAGAAGGTACACCTTCGAGGACGGAGACTATCTGGTCGACGAAGGAAGCCATTATGAGCCGAGGAACGGGGGCGCTGAACGAAGGGGAGGATTTAGGGGAAGAGGCGGTGGATATAGAGGTGGTCGAGGAAGGTGGGATTGAGGAGCGTTCCGGTTGTCTGCGGCTAGATTTTTGTGTCCCCGGCTCTTGTGCCTGCTTCGGGTGTTGGAGTTCTATACAGATTGGTACCGAGTTGTGGGGATTGATAGCTGGCAACCTCAGCAATACTCCACTTTGGATATCGCCGGAGTCTTCCAAGCGACAAGAAGGTCCTTGTCACGGGTCTGCCGCGCCCAGTCTAATGAATCAACTCTCCACCCGAGCGACATCGCAGTGCCAATGTCGGAAGCCGGCGGGTTCGGCAGGATGTCTTGGGAATGGTGAGGACGTGTGTCGTCGCGCTGGAGAGACATGGCTCAGGGTTTGCTGCAACCGCAGATGTACCCGATCACGGAGGGCGAGGCAGGAGCATGAGCCGTGTCCGCTGTATCCTTGAGACATTTCAAGGCTCTCATATGCGATGCCTAAATAGAAGGAACCAACTATTCACCAAACTGATTCATATACTGTGGCTGGTAGCGAGTTGCATACAATGCGCGCAGTCTGACCTTCCAAGCAAATGACACGAGATGCAGATAAACAGATTTTATTACTACCTCTCTAGTATGTACAACGACCTTTCCGCAGATACTCCAAGCGCCCCGTACCCTTGGTAGACCTCCTCAGAAACTAAGCTTTTTATGCATCCGTGATACAGCCGTGACTGGCATCCTGTACAGTTTTCGCGTACTTGTACAAGGTGCCCTTGCTGTACTTCAACGGCGGTGCCTGCCACGTTTTCCTTCTCTTTTCTAGTTCCTCCTCACTCACATCAAGGTTCAGCTCCTTCGACTCAGCATCGATGGTGATCTGATCGCCATCTTGAACGAGACCGATGGGCCCTCCTTCTTGAGCCTCAGGCACGATGTGCCCAATCAAGAACCCATGCGACCCACCACTGAAGCGACCATCTGTGATCAGAGCTACGTCGTTGCCCAAACCGGCACCCATAATCGCGGAAGAGGGTTTCAACATCTCAGGCATGCCCGGCCCGCCTTTCGGACCCTCGTATCTGATGACGACGACGGTCTTCTCACCTTTCCTGATCTCGCCTCTCTCAAGCGCAGTAATGAAGTCGTCTTCGGCGTCGTATACTCTTGCTTTGCCAGAGAACCGTAGCCCTTCCTTGCCGGTGATCTTGCCGACACAGCCGCCGGGGGCAAGGGAACCGCGTAGGATCTGGATATGTCCGGTCTTCTTGATAGGGTTGCTGAGGGGGCGGATGATCTGCTGGTCCTCCGGAAAGCTAGGCGCTTGTTCTAGGTTCTCTCTAAGCGTCTTGCCGGTGACGGTCATGCCACTCCCGTCGATAATACCCTCGTGCAGCAGGAACTTAAGGAGGGCAGGGGTGCCGCCAATATCGAAGATGTCAGCCATGACGTATTTACCAGACGGCTTTAGATCTGCAAGGAAAGGTATCCGATCGCTGACGGATTGGAAGTCGTCGATGGTGAGCTTGATCCCGACGCTGTCAGCTATGGCGATGAGATGGAGTACGGCGTTTGTGGAGCCGCCGGTGATGTTGACAACGACCATGGCGTTTTCGAACGCCTGGCGAGTTAGGATGTCGCTAGGTCGAATATCCTCCTTAAGAAGATTTCTGATGGCACCGCCGGCCGCCAGACATTCAAGCTGCTTGGCCTTGGATTCTGCAGGATTGGACGACGAACCAGGCAGTGTCATGCCCATTACTTCGATAGCTGTTGCCATGGTATTCGCGGTGTACATGCCGCCGCAGGCACCGCCGCCGGGACAGGCGTGCCGGATGATATCGAAGCGCTCTTCTTCGTTGATCTCGCCAGTGATAAACTGACCGTAGGCTTGAAAGGCAGAGACGATGTCGATCTGTTGGTTGTTCAAGGTCTTGGCACAGCCGGGTTGAATGGTGCCTCCGTACACCATAAGGGACGGCCTGTTTATCCTGCCCATAGCCATGATGACCCCGGGCATGTTCTTGTCGCAGCCAGGTATTGAAATATTGGCATCGTACCACTGACCGCCCATGACAGTCTCGATGGAGTCTGCGATGATGTCTCGCGACTGCAACGAGTACCGCATGCCCTTCGTGCCCATCGAAATCGCATCGCTGACACCAATGGTGTTGAACTGCATCGGTACGAGACCCGCCCGCTCAACGCCCTCTTTGACCTTGTTGTTTAGCTGCAGCAGGTGCATATTGCACGGGTTGCCCGAGTACCAGACGGACGAGATGCCAACCTGCGCCTTGTCCATGTCGCTCTCGTCCATGCCTGTGGCGTACAGCATCGCCTGGGAGGCGCCTTGAGATTTCGGCTGCGTGACATGCTTGCTGACCTTGTTCAACTCCTGGGCGCGGAGAGGATTGGTGGTGGATACGGCTCGTCTGTGCAGGTATGTCAGTACATATCCTCACAGAGAAACAACCGCCGGGGACAGACCTGTACTGCAATTGAGGCCTCGAGCGCCAGGCTAGCCGACCTGGGGCCGCTATTAATCGCCGAGGAAGCATCGTTGCTGTCTCACGACGCCCCAGCTGCGCACACGAACAGAAAAGTCGAAGCTACTGTATCTAAATTCTTACAGTAGCCTGCGATGCCGAGGATCGTCCGGCGCTCACGCCGCCAGGCCGCCCCAAGATGCCCCTGCGCTTCCCCGGATTCTTCGCAGCCCTATGAGTACTTGACTTCCAAGGTTCCACGGACAGGGCAGTATTCATGTAAGTTACCTACCTAGGTACAGTAGTTGGATATACTCATTATACAAGCATGTAGCCTTCGTCAGAGCATCGATCAAAGACTTCCCGGAAGACCCCCCGAACAACATCCCGAACAGTCCGTGATATACCTTATCTACTCATCCAAGTATGGGCTGTCGGGTCTACTCCTCCCGAAGGAGCAATCACTACTTACCATATCCGCCTCCCTTTCTTATCTCTTACGACGTAGAGCTGTATTTTCGACTTATATTTTAGATTACACTTCACCATCGCGCTGGGGGATTGGACGGGCTATCTAGAGAGCTGATAGCGTCATGGCTTCCGGCGAATCACAGTTCCTAGTGGAGCCTGGCGTAAGACACCAGGAAGCTCTGAGCAACGATTATTGCAACGAGCGGATCTTCCAGAGAAATCGGCTCCCGCCGCGCTCCTACTGGATTCCTGACACCTCACTGCTCCTCAATGGAGATTGGAGCTTCAACTATGCTCCCACACCACTGCATGCTCCTGATCCGGCTCCGTACAGCACAATCCTGTCCGGTGGCCGTAAAACTACCTTAACTGATCGTGACTCGGCTGAGCAGCTGCCCGAGGTGGCATGGACCTCGATAACAGTCCCAGGTCATTGGCAGCTTCAGGGGCATGGCCGTCCTCACTATACTAATATCGCCTATCCCTTTCCTGTCTATCCGCCGGCCGTACCCTCGGAGAATCCAACTGGCACGTATCGACGAGAATTCCATGTACCTCCAAGTTGGGACAAGTCTAGTCAAATCCGTTTGCGCTTTGACGGAGTAGACAGTGCATTTCATGTCTGGTTTAATGGTATTTTTGTTGGTTATTCCCAGGGGAGTCGGAATCCTGCTGAGTTTGATATTACCGATTTGGTGCGAGGTGGGGACGCAAACTGCCTTCTCGTTCGTGTGTACCAGTGGTCAGACGGATCCTACATCGAGGATCAGGACCAATGGTGGCTTTCCGGTACGCTAATGGCCATTCCTTGAGCTGATTTTACGACTAACACAGCGGTACAGGCATCTTCCGCGATGTTTACCTGCTTGCGTTTCCCACTCGCGGACGGATCGACGACCTTTTCATCAAGACCGAGCCTGACAAGCAATACCAAGACTTCAAGCTATGCACCGATCTAAATCTAGCCCTGCAAGAGGATTGCGAGGTCTCCCTCGTCCTTCGTTGTCCCCGTGGCCGTACTATAGTCTCAGCGCGAGTTCTGGTCTCAAGGGACTTATCCCATTTCACGCATTGCCTTGAAGTCGCATACCCCTCTAAATGGACCGCGGAGACACCACATCTGTACACATTGAAGATAGATCTATTCGGCAAGGGGAACTTGAAAGTCGCCTACCAAGTAATACAGCAGCATATAGGTTTCCGCGCCGTGGAGTTGAAAGATGGCAACATCTGTGTCAATGGAAAAGCCATCATGCTACGTGGAGTCAATCGCCATGATCATCATCCCCGTTATGGTCGTGCTGTGCCATACAGCTTCGTCAGAGAGGACTTACTGCTCATGAAGCGTCATAACATCAACGCAGTCCGCTGCTCACACTACCCATCTCATCCGCGTCTATATGAGCTATGTGACGAGCTTGGGCTTTGGCTTATGGATGAGGCCGACCTCGAATGCCACGGATTTGACGAAGCTGTCGCACGATCTCTCAAGATACCGGAGTCAGTGAGCTACGAGGAGCGTATCTCAATGACGTTCGGCGATGCCGCAAAGTTCACGTCCGATAACCCTTCTTGGAAGGAAGCTTACCTGGACCGGATGCGGCAGCTTGTCGAACGCGACAAGAACCACCCATCTGTGATTATCTGGTCGCTGGGTAACGAGTCCTTCTATGGCCGAAATCATGTCGCTATGTACGAGTATGCCAAAGCACGAGATCCCGGGCGGCTTGTTCACTATGAAGGAGACACGAAGGCCCTTTCTGCGGATATTTTCTCGTACATGTATCCATCTGTCGACACCCTGGTATCGCTGGCGGAGTCTGAAGGCGGCTCGTTCGACAAACCGATCGTGCTTTGCGAGTATGCGCATGCCATGGGCAACGGTCCAGGAGGATTGGAAGACTATCAGAAGGCTTTTAGGGCACACAGGAGACTGCAGGGTGGTTTTGTTTGGGAGTGGGCGAATCATGGGTTGTTAAAGGTTGAAGACGGGAAAGAGTACTACGCTTATGGCGGTGACTTCGGGGACGTCCCGAATGACGATACCTTCGTCATGGATGGCCTGTGTTACAGCGACCATACTCCGACACCGGGCCTTACTGAACTGAAGAAAGTGATCGCCCCAGTGAGGATTTGTGTGGATGGAAAGGGCTTGCTCGTCAGCAACGAACACGATTTTGTCTCTCTACGGCATTTGGTGGCAGACTACAGGGTTGAAGTTTTTGGTAATAGGTAAGTCAAAATTCCTCCAACCGATCTACGCTGACGTCTATTGAGGCCCAAAATCCTCGATTCTGGCACTCTGGAGCTCTCTGACATTCACGCTGGTACAAAGAAATACGTGCAGCTGCCAGACAGTGCCTTCAGCATTCAGAGCGATCATGAATGCTGGCTCACGGTGACCCTACGAACGAGGAGTGCCACTACTTGGGCGGACGCCGGGCACGTTGTGACGTGGTCTCAAGCATGCCTGCAAGAACCCCAAGACTCGAGGGGCACCACCAATAACTCAGCAGCAAGGCTACCGCTGCTGCAGCTGAACGAATTAATCTTTACATACCGAGTCACAGGAGCCGATTTCTGCTTCGTGTTCGATCGCACTCGAGGACAACTGATGGAGTGGATTTGCAGAGGCCGTTCTATACTTCACGGCGAGGAAAGAGACCCGGTGCCGCTGTGTCTCAGCTTCTGGCGAGCTCCAACTGATAACGACGCGAGATGGCAAACTGACGATTGGAAACTCTATGGACTGGATGCTATGACCTCACAGCTTCGTTCGTTCAAGGTCACCAAGACAAGCGAAAGCACCGTTCGCCTCGTAGCAACGATGTATCTGAGTCCACTCGTCGTGGCATGGGGCTTCAACGCTGTAGTCGAATATACCATCGACTTCTCCGGCTCTCTCACCCTGCAAGCTAAACTACAACCAACCGGCAGGGCTCCAAAGACAATTCCACGCGTTGGATGGAACGTCCAGCTTGATCGCCGCCTGGATCACGCTACATGGTTCGGTCTCGGTCCAGGCGAATCATACCATGACAAGAAGTCTGCGCAGCAAATCGGCATCTACACGGCACATAAAGAGCACCTGCAGACTCCGTATGAGGTGCCACAGGAGAACGGGAATAGGGCTGAAGCCCGATGGGTGAATTTGCACGATGAGGCTGGTTTCGGCATCAAAGCGACCTACGTGCCTGGCAAGAACGAGCGAAGGTGCTTCCAATGGGCGGCTTGCAGGCATGATGCAGGCGTTCTTGAGCGAGCTCGGCACCCTTGTGACCTGAGGGAAAGAGACGGTGTATTATGGCGTTTGGATTGTGATAATGCTGGAGTTGGTACTGCAGCTTGCGGTCCGGGTGTGTGCGACGAATGGAAAGTGCCTTGCAGAGAGTTTGAATTTGGATTCAAGCTGGAGCCGGTCGTCTCTAGTTGACACAAGGCAGCCGGTTGATTGGCAGGTTTGTTTCAGCGGCATACTCGCACCGATCCCTGGAGGGGTAGATAAGGGCAGCCCTGGATTTCGTGGGCAGTTTAGGTATAGGCGAGCGTTGAAAAGCAAAAGTGCGAACGCACCATTGCCTTCACATTATCTAATATTTGAGATTCAACATCAAGCTAAGAATCTCATCCGAGGTGGACCACTTTCTCAAGGTTTGTCAATACTTACACCGAATTTCTTGCCCCTGTCATATTGTCTAACCTAGGATAGCACTTTCTGCTGTCGCTGATTAACACCACTCATCCCGACTTTCCCTGACTACTCTGAAGCCTTTAGCAGCATTACAGCCCCTCAGCCTCTTCGGGGTGGCGATGCACGTAATGCCTACCCCGCACCACCACAATCTCACAATCTAAGTACTTTCTCCTCCTTCGAAGATAACCTCCATAGTCGAATTGACACTACCCGAAGGCTTGACCACATTTCGCAGCTTTAACCTTGGATCGGACTTCGTAAATAGTGCCCTCCAGTCTTCTATTTCCCGCTCCCGCGCATTGAAAGTTGTCATCATTTCCATGTCCATGATTCTGTACGTAGTCAGAATCATCCAAGAAGTCGCTGTAGGGTTATGGAAAATAAGTACGACCTACCGAATAATCCTCTCCTCGCTCTTGGGCAACGTGTTCGGCTCTGGTAAGACTCCATCCATGACGATAAGACGTGCTCCGTCCTTAAGCGCAGGTACTAGGTTTTCCAAGATCTTGACCGCATATCGATCAGGATAATCATGTAGAATAAACCGTAACAGATAAACGTCCGCACATTTGACCGGTTGAGGAGTGAAAAAGTCATGGGCCATGAACGATATCCGTGCTTTCATGGATCCAGGTAGTGAAGCTTCGCCCTGAGCAACGATTTCTGGAAGGTCCTGGACTATGAACCTCAAGCCAGTTGCCTTCTCTGCGATAGCGATGCTTGCGTGTCCTATAGAGCCCCCGACCTGTTTAAACCCCTCGAATTAGCCCGTCTGATATAAGACCATGGCCGAATGACTAAGCATACGTCAACCACTGTACCGTGTCCGATCTCGTCCCAGGCAAACCCGTTCACAAGATGACTGACATTATAGCCTTCAGTAGCGGTCATTGCGCCCATAGTCCCTGCAAATCGTTCTGCACGATCTTTATGGCGTGACAGGTACTCAAACATAGGGAGTGGAGTGTCAAAAGCGATGTTGTATGCTGTTTCGTTCTTTTCCTCTGTTGCTCCGTACTTCTCGGTTGCCTCAACCAACTTGGTTGATGCAGGAAACGACTCTTCTGACGTGTACCCAACCCAATCCCGGAGTCCTCTGTCGCGAACGATTAGACACGACTCCGCAGTATGGGTAACGAAGCCCGCACGTGGTTCATGGAAGAGATTGTTGGTCATCGCGTGGCGTAGAATGCGACGGAGTTGGCGTTCATCTACACCAGCTGTAGCAGCAACTTCTGCAAAGGCTACCTCGCGGTCTAGAGGAACGGCCTCGGCGATCTTGAAGTGATATATCCACCGTAGGCTGGAGAGGTCGTGATACTGTTACCAACCTAAATCAGCAACAGACGCCATAACTCGGGCGAAGGCTAACAACATTGCAGGCCAGCCATCGCAAACTCTCGCTCGGACCAACCACCAAGTCATGCAGTGTTTTCGTTGCCTCACGCAGCTTTCGACGAGCGATGAGTACATCTTCCGGCGCTGATGGGAATTCAAGGGCAGCATCTTTCGCAAAGGATGGTTGCGGGAAACCATTTGATGTGAGAAAACTGCCAACGGTCTTTGCGGCAGCAGCGATCTGTTCAGCAAGATCCTCCAGAGTTACCGCCGAATCCATCGCTGCAGCAAAATCTGTTATTCTGTGAATGAGAGGGGGGAACACGGCATGATACAAAGCAAAAGCAATCCCTCGGTAAGGCGCTGCCAACAACGTGACACTAGTTACAGGTTCTACAGGGTTCAGCGCCTGGTTAAACTAACCTTCCGTTGATTATAAACGATGCTTCCTATAAATAACGCGTAAATACCAATCTCTATAATTATAAAAATCTACTTTTTTAATCTCGCATATTATAGACTTATATATAAATATAATATATTATTAATATTAGCTTATTTATAGCTTATTATAGTAGTAATTTATTATATTTAAATCTATTTTATAATCTTAAGATTGAAGTTTACTATGTAGTTAGATAAAATAAAGCTTCTTTATAGACTTTAAAATTAACTAAAGGTTAGTCTAAGTAGGCGCTAAACTATATAGAGTCTATATTAGATTTACTCTAAGCTAGATTAAAATAGCTCTACTAAACTTGGAATTTTCTATAGTCTAACTCTAGCGTGCAAGTAGAATTATTTATTACTAATATATAGGCGGTAATAGCTACTATATCTTACTGCTAGTTGAGATATACTACTAGCTGGAATATATTTTTATATGAATACTCTAATAAATTCAAAAGTTAATGTTATAATAGCTACTTAGCATAATTATTTATTATTCTAATACTATATAATATACATCTAGAAGCATAGATTTAGTTATTTATACTCTAAAGATAATACCTACTAGTCTAATTAACTAAGCTTAAAAATAGCTCTATAGTATAATAAACTCTTATAAATTAGTCTATAAGTAGTATAGTTATAATATAATACAACTAGATAAAGTAGATAGATCTATCTAATATAATATATAAAGTAGCCAATAGTTAGTTATATTAGAATAGCTTAGAAAGAGCTTAGTAGATATAGAATAAAATACTCTGCTCTAGCCTTTCTTTGAAATAGTAGTTTATACTGTTTAAAAATAATAAATGATACCTACTAGTATTCTCAACCTATCTAATTCTCTCTTTTTAATACATAGTAGATACTAAGAAAATTAAAAGACTAATTTCTTAGTAATTATTATCTTATTAGAGGTTTTTCAAATAGATTCTTAAGGTAGATAGCTTACTAATATTATTAGTAAGATCTTATAGCTATAGCTTATCTAGTTGAAAAGTTATTAAGAAAATTAAGTAATTACTAAGAGATATTTATAACGGAGTGTTACTATAAAATAGTAATTTCAATTAAGAATTAAAGAGCAGTATAAGATATAATAGAATTTGATTAGTATTAGATAGTAATTAATTAAATATATTATAAGAATACTAGATTTTTATTATAAGTTAAATATAATAGTGTATTACTACAAAGTAGTAACTCTTATTAATTAATAAAGAAAAGTATAAGATATAATAAGAGTAAGCTAATATTATAGGTAACTTATTAAGCATATAATAGGAATATAAGCTTATTACTTTAAGTTAAGGATATTATTCTAAGAAATAAGTATAGTATTATCTATATATTATAGGTTAGAGTAAGTAGTTTTGTATATTATTTAGTTAACTTAGTATACTTAGTATCTAATTATTTTGATTTAGATCCGCTATAATCTAGTTTATAATACTATTTCCTTCTCTTATATATTTTATCCTAAAAGGTATTTTTCTTCTTTATTATATAATAGACTCTAAAATCTAATACTATTAAACTATTTATTAAGAAATCTTCTTCTATAGTATATAACTATTATCTAATTAGATTTCTTTGCTTTTAAGAAATCTACTATACTAATTCTATATAGTTGTTATAAGACTAACTTTCTAATTTATAAAGTAGACTTATAGGCTAGTTACTATACTAAGTATATTTAATCTAATACTTTCTATAACTTAGTTATCACCTATAAAAAATTAGGAAAGATAATTAAGAAGAGAAAGAAACTTTATTATTATTTTATTAAAGCTAAAAAGAGTATAGTAAATACTATTACAAAGAATTACTAGCTAAGATAAAAATAATAGGTACTAAAGATTTAGCACTTTACTATTATTATATATAAGCTAGCTTTCATTAGAGAGATAGATTACTTAGAGTAAGAGTAAGCTACTTTCTTTACTAATATCTTAATAGAAGTTTTTATTTTAGAACTATTTACTCTTTTAGATTCTTTAGCTTTCTATTTTTTATTCTAGAGTATTATAGATAGTTTTTTTCAAACCTCTTTACTACTTCTTTTTTCATTAAGATTCTAACCTTATATGATACTTCTCTTTCGCTTACTTACTTTTATTAAGGTTAATATATAACTTTAATATATTTCTAAATCTAGATAGTCTTTTTATTTAATTAAATAATACTATCTATTATTAGTAAACTTGTACTATTATTTGGAATATTCTGTGCATTATATCATTATAGATTTTATTCAATTGGATAGTTATTTAGTATCTTAGCTAAGACTAGTGCTTCTATAAAAGCTAGTTCTAGTAGTAAAATATAGAATACTAAGTATATTTCTATTCTATCTAGTAATTCTAGCTTATAGCCTATATTTTTAGTATTCTAATAATCTTAAAGAATTCTATTCTAGTATAATCTAATATTCTACTTACTCTCACTATCTCAATATTTATATAGATAAAATAAACTTTATTATATTTATTTTTTCTATAAATGCTCTAAATCTATCTTTTAGTATAAATCCTCTAGATCTGTATTTATTATAGTAAAATACTAACTATTAATAAAAGAATTTATTATAGTTTTATAATTCTAGTCTATTTATGATTTTTTCTTACTATTAATCTAGCTACTTTTACTAGAGTCTAGACATCTTTGGATCTATATAATAGCTAGATATAGTATATACAGATAGTATAAAATAGTATTTATTCTATTGTCTTACCTACATCTATATTATATACTTACTATATAGTTAGTAATAGTAATATCTAGTTTGCCTATTAGTAATTTATATACGCTCTTAATTACTATATTAGTACTTAGTTTATATACTTAATCTATCTATCTATTTATAGATAATAAGCTATTAAAAGCTTATAGGACAGTTCTAGCTATTCTATAAGTATAGGCTAGAAGTTTAATATCAATCGCTTATATTTATTTAAGCTAATTTTTTTAGATAGGCTCTATATTACTATAATGTTCTAGAGGAAGGAGTATACTAGTTCTTTAGTATTAAATATTTCTTTATATAATATAGAGTATACTCTCTTTATTAATAAGTCTATAATAGTAAGTATAGAGTTACATGTTACTTCTATGAAGAGTTCTCTAGAATAAAGATAGTTTAATAATAAAGTCTACTAGGTGTGCCCGTTTTATAATAAAACAATTTAGAGTATTAGTAAAGAGTATTTAGTAAATTTAGATTCTTGGGAGTATGTCTTTTCTCTATAGCTTTTAATCTTTCTTTTTCTTAGGTATAAAGGGTATTCCCCCCCTGATTTTCTTTATTCTATAGTTAAGAGTTTATTTTTATTTTTATTTTTCTTTTAGTTTATGTCTTAGTTTATCTCTTAGTTTATCTCTTAGTTTATCTCTTAGTTTATCTCTTAGTTTATCTCTTAGTTTATCTCTTAGTTTATCTCTTAGTTTATCTCTTAGTGTATCTCTTAGTTTACCTCTTAGTTTACCTCTTAGTTTATCTCTTAATTAATCTTTCTAATTTTATCTTTAGTTAAATTTCGGTTTAGTTTTTAGATTAGTTCTTAGTTTAATTTAGAGTATAGTTTTTAGCATGGTTTTTAGCTTAGCTTAGAGTCTAATTTTTATTTTAGCTTTTAGCTTAGTTTGTAGTTTACTATTTATTCTTACTTTTAGTCTTATTTTATTAATTAATCTTTTTTACTTGAGTAGAATTAGCTATTCTACTTTATAAGAGGGATTCTCTCCCTTAAACTCCCTATTTTCTCTTTTAAGATAAGGGGCGTTCCTTCTCTTAAACTCCCTCTAGCTTTCCTTATCCTATATGAAAGAATTTTTTTTTATTCTAGATTCTAGTATCTTTTTAGTTTCTTTTTTACCTACTTTTAGCTTAATTTCTAGTCTATTTTCTAGTGTATTTCTTAGTTTAGTCCTTAGTTTATCTTTTACTAAATCTTTTAATCTACTATCTAGTTTACTCTTTATTTTATATTCTAGTTTATCTCTTAATTTACTTCTTAGCTTACTTTTTAGTTTACTAATAAGTTTATACTCATTAGTTTATTACTTAGTCTACTATGTAATCCTCTTTATAGACTTTAGTATACTCTAGTTCTTAGTATACTTTTTAGATAACTATTAAGTTTAGCTTTTAATAGAGTTTCTTTTTAGTTTACTTCTTATTCTAGTTTTTAGCTTAATTTCTAGCTAAGCCTTTTGTATAGTTTCTAGTATAGTTTCTAGGATAGTCTCTAGTCTAGTTTTTAATCTAGTTTCTACTTTACTTAGTAGTTTACTTTTTACTTTACTATCTACTTACTCTTATAGTTTACTTTTTATAATATTCTTTACTCTAGTCCTTCTATAGAATTATAAGATATAGTAATTATTAACTTATATCTAAATTATAGTTTTAGTTATAGTTTAAGATATAGCTTAGCTTTAAGTATAATCTCTAGTTTAGTATATTGCTTAGCTATTTTAGCTATTAGTTTAGTTTCTTATATATTTTATATTCTATTTCTATTTAGTTTAATAAGTATGTAATCTAAGCTACTATATGTTTCTAGGCTATAGTATACTCTTTACTCTTACTAGACTATATATTTATCTTTTAGCTATATAAGAAGTTATAGTCTTACTATTATATAGATAAATTTATAGAATTTCTAAGTTTTTCATTAAGAATTTGAGTTTTTTTTAGGCTTTCTTAGCTATTTAGCTGCTTTTATACCTTAATAAGTTTTATATATTATATAATACCCCTAAGAGTTGATATCTACCTTATAGCTAAAAAGAAAAAGTATAGTCCCGCTAGGGATGAAACTAGTA